CAATGATGGTTTACAAACTGAATGGATTTAATAAGCTACAGTATTTGCTTTAAATGAAGTAACATTTAAACACTGGAATACAGTCTCAGATTCTTCAATTAAAAAAGCCACAACTTAAAAACTAAAATTTACCCAAAATTGTGCTCTCAGAACCCTCAAGTTAAATCTATCATTTTATTATTACAATTTCGGATCTGAGAAAACTACTCTAAAAGGTTCTACGTTTCTTTTTGTATCTGATTCATTTACCTATGCTTTTATACTTTCAAATTAAAGTCATATTAAAGGATTTAAATCACTGAACATTTCTACTCATGTATTTGAAATTTGCCATGTAGTCTTAGGCTCCAGTATGACTTAATACAAACAAGTTAAAACCTATAATATTATATTACCATATTCTTTCACAAATATTTGTTCAAGTTTATGTCTAATATCAAGATTTAAAAGGACAATATCACATTTCTTACTATCAGACCCCTACAACAAACTATTAGAACATTTTTAAAAAGAAATAGGGATTCCTCATCATTAAGTTTCCATCTTTGTCTCCAACAAAATTTTGAAATTTTCTAAGAGTTACTCTGTAAACCAGGGCACACATACACACACACACACACACACACACACACACACACACACACACACCAACTTCCATCACAACCATAAGAACAGACCAGCATTAGTATAAACATTAGGACCATAAAGAGATCTTAGAGGTCATCTAGTCCTGCTCTCATTTTACAGATGGAGAAACGGAGGCCTAGAGAGGTTAAGTGATTTAACCAAACCAGTTCCTGTGATTCCAAATCTGGGGGAAAGGAGGGAGGGGTTTTTCCACTACTCAGTAACTTTTATCAGATGTTACGAGTTAGAGTACCAATGTGTATAGTCACACCAGAACAACCCCTATCACTACAATTTGGGTAAAGCCTCAAACTTCTTATCCTATAACCTTATACCCTACATCGTGTTTATTAAATTAATTAAATAAGTACTTAATAAAGCAGTGTGGTGCAGTGTCTAGAGATAGCCTTGGAGGCTTGCCTCACTTCTCTGATCCATACAGAGGAGAGACCCTGGGCAAGTCACCGAATCTCTCAGTGAGCAAGATAACTTAATTCTAAAGACTCTAAATTGCAAAGGAATTGATAACCTGTACTGGTAAAGAAAATTTCTCAGCAGGAGCTCCCTACACAGTTGAAATCACAGGTCCAATAAAAAAAAATTAAGAGTAAGGAATCTCTAAAGGAATACTGTAAAAAAGAACCAAAATGCTGAATATCTATTTGTGTGGTCATCGGGAAAAAACAACTTTTGCACTCACATAAGTCTTCTGATATTCTCAATAAATTCCTATGCAGAATTAAGATTATGGTACAATTATTGTTTCTTTTTTCTTCTGAGAATTTCTAACCACATAAACATAATTAGGACTAATTCAAATCTCTTTGTAAATTCAATCTGCTGTAGAAAAAACACACATATTAATTAAATCCTACCCCTTACTACGTTTAGAAGAGTCACTACAGTTTCATATTTAAACTATTACAACTTAAGAAACTCTGACCTTAAATCCTACGAATTTGTTTTAATTATTTTACTTCAAATAGGGGCTTCCTGATGGAAAAGAAAACATAACTATGCATGAGCATTTATCAGTTATCCACCATCAGCATGAATGCTTCAAACTCCAGTCAGAAAATATGCATCTCAGCAAATCATAAAACATTTCTTTTATCTCATACTCATGTTTAGAACAACTCATTTTTTCAGAAGTTTTCTGTTCATACTACATATGAAATACCTAACTCAAGGAGCTAGGATCAGGACTACTGCACATTGCCTCTATTGAAACAATATATTTTTCTTTGCTAAAGCACCCTTTACTATTGAAGTCTGGTAGCATTTCCATTCTCCAACAGAAGTTCAGATTCCCAACCCCAGAAAGTTGTTATACTTAGTAAGTTGATACCATAATAAAAATCCAAATTAAACAATCACAAATTACAGAATGGGAAAATTGAATGTTTAGGCTTAATCCATCAATTTAAAAAATCCACTAAAAAACAGCTAGGTATATACTTTAAAACAGAACTTGCCACAGTAATGTGTTTTCCCCAGTTCCAAACAATGTTCAGCTAAAACTTAATAATAAAAATTAACATTCTGCAGTAGTCACTGTCAATAGTTCGAAAGTGACCCACCCACCTGAATTTAGTACAGAAAGCAAATTCCTTCAGGAAGGCCAGAATTCCTGATGCCAATTGCAATGAATGGGAGAAGGAATGTATTTAAATCAAATAGCACCATCTAGCAGGCCCCCCATAACTTTGCTTACCAGGGTAGTAACTACTTAGGACTATAGAACCAAGCTAATTCCAACAGCAAAACTAATTAGGATCAATGATTGTTTTCATATAGTAAAAGTTTACTAAAGGCACATTTGTATAGAGTAACAGGAGAAAACGTAAAAGAAGGTGAAAATAAAAAGGAAAGAATGAAAACTTCAGGAAAGGAAAATTTCACAAATGCTTCAGAGTACAGATTAGGTACATCTAAAATGTATCCCTTTCCAGGAGTCCATAGCTGATAACCCAATATAATTTATATATTCATATATGAATTCATATATTCCTACTTTTTGCTTCATATATTCCACGAGACAAATGAAATATCAAAAAAATTGATCAAGTCCCTCGACCCCAATAAGTGAGTATAAAATATAGATAACTGTATAATCATTGCAGAGGCAAATCTGTTTTAATGAACAAAAACAAACTTCCAAACAAGTATTTTTTCATTATGCATTGAAACCAACTGATTAACTCATAACATAAGTTGTTTCAAACTCCAATTTCAGTAACTGCTGTTTGTTAATTATGTCCCTGCACCTTTGTGGGCTTACTTCCTCGAGACTACACACAGCTACTCAAAAAATATCTCCATCGAAAACTGTAGCATCTCTTTAGGCAGGCCCTCTCTTAATGTTTTTGTAACATGAAGGCCTTTTACTAAGAACTCCCCTAAGAAATTGTGCGTGTTGCTGCCAGCAAGAGGATTAGGTTTTCCTATCCTTGTGGCAAAAGAAACTTTCAGGAGAAGGCTGCGCAAGGGAGGGAAGCTCAATCACATCTGAGCTTTCCACTTTATTTGTAAAGCTACGATTATTATGCACTAACTTTGGCTCAACAGCCAAAGTACATTTCCTTAACTGTTTCCAAATTATTTCACCTCCGGCCTGAGTCCCTATCAAGTGTGGCATAAACTAGAATAGCCCCTCTAATAGGGTTATGGGGCGCTTACTGAGCATCTCCCTTTCTCTCTCTGCACCACTCAAACCCAGAGAAAAGACGGGTCTGTTCCTCTTTACCAACAGCCACCTATTCTTCTATTCATTTTTAGTAACGTTCAAATCATCCTTACAAGTACATATGAATAGCGGCCAGCAACCTTGCACCGCAGTTGATAGAGCCTGACATCCACGAGTCATGGGGCCCTCTTTTCATACTCGACTTCCCTACAGTCACCACTGGAGCGAACACCTGTATCTCTCCCTCAACCCTGACCAAACAGCTCTTCCCAATGGCGAGGGCTTTTACCCTCAAAAACAAAACAAAACAAAAACAACAACAAAAACCCTCTTCCTTGCTACCTCCCGTTCCACTACCACATGCACTCGCCTATAACATCCGCCACTCTAACAACTTGCCTTTCACGCTTCCAGGGTGCCTGCACCCCTTTGCACCCCACTGCTGCCACAAACAGCTTCCCTTTACATTGTATCGACCACAGTCACCACTAAAATCCCGCTTTCCCAACCTCTCCAAATCCACCCACCTTCCCCAACACCACTCCACATCAACAGCTTCCCCCAGTCTGCAAACCTCTCCGCCAACAGCCACCCCCTGCTGCTGCCGCCGCCTCCCCCCCGCCCCACAACCCGGGGCCGTCGCGGCTCCCCTGACATTTGAGAGACATAAAGTCTCCATAAAAAAGTTCTCGGCTACCGGCAGCAGAATTGGGTTTGCTACGTGAGGGCAAAAACACTAACAACCACCACAAGGAGGTTCCTCCTCCCTAAGACATGCTTCCCCCCATGCCCGACCCCTCCCCAATTTAACTCGTTCTTAAAAAACAAAAACTACCAAACTTATAATCCACCTTCTCTCCTTATCCCCTACCCCACCTCATAATATTTTGTTGTTTTGTTTTGTTTTTAAACCACAGAACATCCCCAGGACGTCGGCAGAGAAAGAGCATGATCCTCCCCCCTCCTCCTCCCCCCAATATCCTGCCCAAACATCTTCATCTCCTGCCCAGTCCTCCCACGATGTGACCCCTGCCAGCAGGCGCTACCTGCCCCTTAACCCTGCTGCCAAGCACGCCTTCCCACCGCAGCCTGCCCGACCCCGGAGGACCAGCGCTAGCCCCTCTGCCCTCCTCCCTCCATCCCTGCTTCCCCAGGACCCTCAGCTCAAGCACGCGCCCCCCCCCCACTCCCAGCCTCCTGAGCCCGTCACCCAGAACTATTGCACCCTCCCCATACCTTCCCACTCCCCGCCCAAGCTTCCTTTCCCCCAACCCGGTCCTCACCTCTATACTCCACCTCTCTCTCTCGCATACCCGCACCCTCACCCCGATTTGAGGTGCAGAACCCTCCACCCTCCACCCTCTACTCCCCCCACCCCAGAGCTGCTCTTTTAGTCTCTGCAGCCCTGGAGCCCTGCTGCAAAGTTAGTTTGTGAGCAGATAAACCAACGGATGATTTCCCTCAATCATCCAAACAAGTTTCCATCCCCACCACCACCCCCCGACACACACAGTCGCTTCCTTCGACAGCCCCCCACTGCCGCCCTACTCGCCCGAGTGCCTCCGAAGCAGCCACTACCCCCATCCCCCCCCCACCTCGTACCCTTCCCCCTCCCATTCCACCCCCGTGAGAGTGTGCGGGCTAGAGGGTGTGGGGAGTGGTGGTAAAGAGGAGAGACGACACTTACTTCTCCCGGGCCTGGCTGTCGGACGGGACGGCGCTGCTGTTACTCTTGCCTTTGCCGTACATGCTTGTGCCGAGAGCAGCTCCCACTGTCACGCACCTGTCAACCCATCACAGCCTCCCCGGGAACAGCCCCGTCCCCATGGCGACCCACGCAGCCACCCCCACCATTGGACGCCCCGGGCCTGGACCCCGCCTCTTTCACCTAGGCAACGGGCGAGACTGACAGCTTCCACCCCCCACCTCTCCCGACGTTCTGTAGCGCGCGGTGGCGGCAACAGCCAAAGCCGCCGTCTCCTCCCTCCTTCCCTCCCTCCTTCTCTTTCTCCTCCTTCCCTCCTCCCTCTCTCCTTCCCCCTCCCCCTCCGAACCCCGGCGCAAGGGGGGAATTAGAAACTGCTCTAGAAGGATTTTAAACAACTGGCTGTTCCCTCCACCGCCGCCCCTCCCCCCGCGCCGCCCGCGCGAGGCTCCTCACTGGAGAGAAGGCGCCGGGAGGAGGGGAAAGTGCGGCCTGGAGTCTCACAGGCAGGAGCCGGCGGAGCCGGAGCGGACGCGGCCCCCAGACTCTGGGGCGCCCGACAGACACGCGGCCCCAGCCCACCCCCGGGGCTCCCCGCTGCGCCCCAGGAACGCAGGCGGGGGGAGCAAGGAAACGGGGGATGAACGCCTCCCCACACCCCATGAGGCCGCCCGTCCTGGGAAGCCGACCCCCCGCCCCGGGGCTCCCCCAGCCCGGCTCCCGGAGGCCTCGGCTGCTCTGAGGCGTGATTCGCCCCCGCCAGCGCCTCTCCCCGGCCTGGGCGCTGACCCCTGGCCCACCCCGGCCCTGAGCCTGCTCCCAGGACCGAGGAGGCCACCCGGGGCCCTGCCCGGTGCCTCCATCCTCCCCGGGGGGCTGTGAGGGGGCACTGTGACTCCCCAGACACACGTGAATTTGGGCCCCAGGCGTGGGCGAAGCCCCCGAGGCTCGGAGGTGGCCCCTGGGGCCAGGCCCGGGGTACTGGGAAAGGGGGCTCAGAACTGGAACCACCCTGCTCATCCTATTTCTGCATTTGTGGGAAAAGTTTAAAAAGACACACACACAGACACACACAACCACACAACAAGCCACTTCCCAGTCGTTCTCGTTCCCAGCCGAAATCCCCGGCTGGGAAACGAGGCTGGGTGCAAATGTGCAAAAGAGCTGGAGAGAAGAGGCCTTGTATCGGGTTGTGGGGGTGACCGGCAGAGAAGGTGGAGAGCCCGAGTGCAGGGTGAGGGATGCAACACAAAAATGGGGGGCGGAAAGCGTCCTGGCTATTCCTGATATCTAGCTCTAAGCTCTTAGCATGGCCATAAAAATGCATAGAGAGATAGATGGAACTGAAAGAAATGGGATTGTGGGAAAGATTGGCAGGAAGGGACAGGAATAAAACCGCAATAAAAGGGTAAGGAAGGGCAACTGGAAAGAGGGAGAGAGGCAGAGGCAGAAAGGAGGCCTTCCTCCAAGCATAAATCAACCAGACTTGGGAAATAGGAAATAACAAAGACCAAGTATATGGCGAGCAGGGAAAAGGAGGAAATGGGGGGGGGGGAATAAGAAATGAGCAAAAATGAATAGAATTGAATCAAGAAACAAGGATAGCACAGTAATAAAGGAGAATAGGGTTAGGAACAGCATTTGTAATTTCAATGATATAGGGAGCTCTTGGATGAGGAAATTACCTCTCTGCAATTTAGAATTTTTAGAGAGTTGCTAGAGCACTAATCGACCACGGTCAAAGGGCCAATAAGTTTTGAGAGGTGGGACTTAAAACTCATCTTCTTGGCTGGAAAGCCGACTCTGCCATAGCAAGACTGTCTCTGAATAAGCAGGGAGATCTCCTCCACTGAGAATGAAGAATGAAAATAAGGGAGTAAGGTAGGAAATTATGTTTAAAAAGAAAATAGTTGAAAAAAGGGAAAATATGCAAATAGACAAAAGGAGTATAAAACTAAGGTGAAAAATCACATTCACTTGAGAATATAAGAAGTAGCCAAGAAAAAAATGTTTGCTGTTTGTAAAAATAGGAGCATCCTTCATATCTCTGATGGCTTATTTGATTGCTGAGTAATACAATTTGAGGTCAATAAGTACAGATTCAGAAGAAATGTAATGAGTTAGATCAAACCAGTAACTCCCTCCTCTTCATTTTTTGGCCAAAACTTCCAAATTTTTAAGGCTGCTATTGCTTCCTCAAAGACTATCATCAGATTAATATTATTTAACCAGTGTTCAAATATTCAACTTCCATTGGCTCCTATCCAGAAAATTATGGGTTTAACCCACAAGTCCATCAGCCATGGAACCCTATAGGCTGTTGCTCTTGGATTTCAGGGAAGAGTTCTGGCTGTCATCCCATCCTCATGCCTATACCTGCAGAAGAAATTATTTCCCCTGAAAATCAAAAAGCCCACTGCTTTTCAATGATTCAAAAACCACATTAGCCACTATCTTTGCCCTCAGACCTGGATATGGATATGAAGAATGAGAGAGAGAGAGAGATTGATTTAAGTCATGTTTGTGCAGAAGATCAAAGACTGTGGTACATATATTTTGGCTATCTTCATGGCAGACTGTGAATGTTACAACTGAACCAATCTGTGGCAAATGGCACCTCTTGCTAATACAGATAAAAGGCTGTACAAAGTCATTAATTGGTTTTAAATAATGATTGATCATTAATAGGTAAAGCAATGTTTCAAGTAACAATGTTCTAAGTGGAAGCTACCTTCCAGGGTCAGATAGCCGAAGAATAGGCTACAAGAGCAGAGACATCAAACTCTGATAAGGTTGGAGTAAGCTGGGCTAGACTGGATTGGGCAGAATTCTAACTGACACCAGGTATAGAGCTACACAATTCCATCAGAGGGACTACTGATGTTTGTAGCTGAAAGCCAACAGAATCAAGGCGTTAGGACAGGGAGTGTCTGGCTGTAAGGCAAAAAAGCAGAGTCCAGAAACAGCATGGAATGGGAGGACCTCTTTCTTTTCCCAGGGATTTCCTAACTCTTCTAGTTTAAGATCCATCTAGAATAATAACTTTCATATGAGAACCTTCTTCTTCTTCTTCTTCTTCTTCTTTTCCTTCTCCTCCTCTTTCTACTCCTCCTCCTCCTCTTTCTACTCCTCCTTGTCCTTTTCCTCTTCCTTGTCCTCCTCACTAAAGCCCTCCTTCTCCTCAGACTCCTCCTTCTTCTTCTTGTTCTCCTTCTCTGCTCATGACATCTGTCTGATATTCAGCAAGTAAAAGTGAAGACCCAAGGATCAAACCTGACCTGATCCCCAACCAGAGGGTGGTGATTGATTATGCTGTATGAACTTTACATGGAGGATGTCTGTACGGGCAAAACATATACTTAAGATATATACAAAATTTCACCATATATAACAACATATACCCACAGCTTCAGATCCATTATTTCCCAGATGGTTCAATCACTTTTGCTTACCTTTTGAAGTTTAAGATAAGAAGGAGAAAGAATATTGGAAGGGATGTTTACTGACCATTATTTAATTTATTCATTTTATTGGTTTTGACCCAAATTTGGTACATGTACAGAGGCCTTTGGGTAGTGGCATATTTTCTTGTTTTCCCAAAATAAATAAATTACAGACCTGCACAGTGGGATATGGAATTCAGAACAATTTGGTCTTAGTATCTGGAAAGAACAAAATGCTAAAAGGTCCTAGTTCAGAACTTGCCAAGTTAATGTCACAGTTACGTTTACAAGAATGTTATCATACAATAAATACACAAAACAAAAATATAACTACACAGTGTATGGTAATCTTAAAGCTTAAGTAATCAAATAAATTATCATTAAAACATCTCTGTAGTTTCATAAAGTTGAATGTGGCTGTTTTGTTTTCCTTTAAGTGTTTACACATGTAAATAAAATGCTTCTTTGCCCTTGCTCAAATCATTTTGAGTACAAAGAGTGTTCTTTGCAGCAGCAACTGCATCTCATGGGGCCAATATTGTAATTAATGAGATTTGAAACACATATACTGAGCCAAATCTGAGATCCCAGAACCAGGATTGAAGATCCTTTGCTTTGTTTGTTCTTATTTTTTAAAAAAATGGGAGGTAGGGCATGGGGAATGGAGTATTTTAAAGCTTACTGATGTATTTTAGAGTTTGTTTTTTTTAATGGCTTACAAAATATCGCTTACTTCTTTGGACCTTCGTGAAGAACACTGGAATTTGTATGTGGGAATAATGACCAGCTGAGCCACAAGTATGGGCCGTTTGGGGTTGATATTTTTTAACTTTATTCGTCCAGGTATAGAACATCGAATTTACTCAATAATGTTTGTTTTATTTTTTCCTTTTGTTTGAGCATGCATGAACTATTTCTTTCTTCTAGAACCTGCCTCTTATTCCTAGAAATCTTTATCATTTCAAAACAGGCATTGTATTATACCACACCATCTGAACTCTAGATTGATGACATATATGTGCATATATACACACATACATATGCATATATGTGTGTAATTTTTAGTATAATTTAGTAAATGTTTAGTATATATGTACATATATGTATATAAGTTTTTCTTCTGACTTCATACAATGTCTGATAAACATGGAACTTCTCTAGCTAGATATAGATCTAGATGAGCATATCACTTTGTTAAGTACAGGTTAATGATGAATTTAATTATCTTAATCATGTACATTTATTTTAAAACCATAATTCTTCAGATTTGTTGACAGAGTAATATTTTTTCTGCTATTGAAAATGAGTTTTTAAAAATAATTTAAGCACAGGAGCAACTAGGTGGCATAGTGGATAGAGCACCAGCCCTAGAGTCAGGAGTTCTGAGTTCAAAGTCGTCCTCAGACACTTGACACTTACTAGCTTCATGATCCTGGGCAAGTCACTTAACCCCAATTGTCTCAAAAAAAAATTGTTTAAGAATAAAAATTATATCCTGTGTTTTTAGGAAAGTCTTCTAAAGGACAAAATAATTGTTCATTTGTTTCATAAAAACCAATTAGTTTGTAAATAATAACAATTCTTCATTATATTCATAGCACTTTACATTTTAGAACATTTTGCATTTTTTCATTAATATTCATAGCACCCCTGTTAACTATATTTTCTT